ATTATTATTCGTTAGAAATAGTTGCTATGGTATAAGGAGTCATACAAATTGTTTTGTTCCTGAATTTATCTATTCATTTGTTTCCTATTGATATTGATTTATTTTCCAATAATACTTGTTCGTCGAACGATACTTTTGTTGTGTATCGATCAGTTGTATATAGGTATCTTTGCGTATTCTCTTGTTCATTTCTCAAGTGAACAGTGTAGATTTTCTGAGTGGTACTTATTTCCATTTGCAAAATCGTCTCTCAGCAATTATCTGCTTCATTCACACTTGTAAACATCTTTTCATTTGTTGTTGATTATAAATTGCCATTAATTTTCAGTATCGTCTGCATTTTGAGTCTTCTTTTTATACGCTGATTGTACAGCAAATCGTTGTTAACAATTTTCTGATAGGCTTCATCGCGATTTGGAGCACTTTAAACCTGAGCAGTGCCATTCATTCAACTGAACTTATCGAATCGATCTTAACGAATAATTTATCGCCGCTATTCGAAGTAATTTATCAGGTGTGAAGAAAATTTTCGAAACTTGTTCGGATAATGACTATTATTTTGTTGGAGCTTCTGGATATAAAACAGTGTCTGGATGGTATTTTTTAAGAAATTATTTCTTTGCGTTGTTGAGATATCTTTATTAGAGAACGACGATAATTATCTCTTTTCATTCATACTGAGTTTTGCTGTTCAGCAGTGGCGCAGTTTGGAAAACGTGATGATATTTTTTGTGTTCATGATATTTCTCATTATGTTTCTGTTATATTGAGTGAATTCAACGACACATATTGTTGTGCACACGGTATTGTTTTGTTTCAGTATTAGGCATCGATGTGTTCATCGAACGACATGGAATGATTTTGGTTATTTGAATCAGCTTAAGTTTTATGTGATCAATTAATCCGTGATAATATCGATGAAATCCCATTTAGTAACGTCCAAATCTCAGTAACGTCCATTATCCATGTGAACAGTCTGGATCCGATTTCCAAAAACTTTTGACGAAAGTTTCCATTTCCAGATTTTTTGATCAATTCACTCATTGCGTTTATAGAATATCTGAAATGTATGTATCTCACAATATTTTCATTTGTGTCAATAATTTTCTCCTCCATATTTTGACTCTTCCATTTCTTTAGAATTAATCCCATTAATGCCAAACAAAATTTTATTGATATCCTCTCAGTTAACGGATAAGCAGTCAGCTAATGAATATTCATAATTGGATAGCATCAACAATTATTTCAATC